CAATAGAATAATCGTATGAACACTTTTCTGAAGAAAACTACAAACTAAGCCGAAACCTGATCCTATTCACGTACAGGACTGTTGCGCATTCATATGTTAAATAAAAAATTTATTTTCTTCGCGTAGCCCATAATGTTAAGGTTTTCGAATTGATGTGGATTACTTGCTTACGGATTAATTTAAATACAAGCAAATTACAGTATTTCTCAAATTTACAGCACTAACGAATATACGTGATACCTTCGCATTGTGTGTCTTAGCCTTTCTCAACAACGCCTCGCACGTCATCCAGTTGTCCTCCTTGACGTGCGTCGACGTCATCTGGCAAACGGCAACGACTGGCTTGACCATTGTGTAATATAGGCGGCGAAAACTTTGAGGCCAATGTCCTAACATCAAATGCGAACGAACGTCGAGGTCAACACAGAGGCATAAACCAAAAAACTAACGTTTTTCATACAAACAACAATAACAAAACTAAAACAATAAAGCTGCGAACAGAGCACCAAGAAAAACTGAGCAGGGCAAAAAATTTATCGCTGAAAAACTGACAAAGCTATATCGGACAATGACGGAAGTACGGTGTCCACTAATTTAACTACTGTTTCACTATTTCTGTTCATCTTAACTACTTTTTCGTCGTTCGGTCGTCTTTCTGGCCATCGCTCTGGTTTTGGAACGCCATCTCTCGACGCGGGTTCGGATCTGGCGCTTTTTCAAATCCACGTAGGTTCTGACCTGGGCTCGGGTCGGCGCTGGCTTGATCCACCCCCAAATGACCAGGTAACGAACGCTTATCGCTGTTACGGCTACCGTTACCGGGTACCGAACGGGCGACGCTAGCTAAAAACCAAAACAATATCAAAACTCAAGAGTGCAATACATATGATATACAACATCTAATGCCGGCGCCCCATTTTTCTCAATTCGTTAATTTAAATACGAATTAAAGAAATAACTGATACCGAATGTCTGAGAAACGAAGGTTCTTTTAAATACCATCTGTAGTAATAAACGCCAAGACATTAATAATAATAGTCTCTTCCAACTCAATGCCTATGACAATGCGACTGTGTTAACTAAAGTGCATACAAGGTTGTACAACAACGCTGACCAGAGCGGTTATGACTAACCCGCCTGAAATGGTACTTCCAACTTTCAGATTAGTAGACACTTCACCACAGTTTCAAAATGAGGTACTTCGGCTTAAAAACGGACAAATGCCTCGCATGGAATTTAAGAATTTGATCCCTGGTCGACAAATTCACACAAATGAAACGTCTTCGAGTGAGGCAACAGATGTTGCAGTTCTCAGGACAAGGTTGCATGATGCAGTTGCTTATTTATGTTATCTCAGTCTATATCGATGGCCTGAGAAGTCGCCACGATAACCGCATACGGCATCTATTATATAAGACTGAAGCTTTCAGACCGTCCCCGGTTCCTTCTGTTTTATCACCTGCCCAACATATTTCCGCCACTCTCCCTGGTGCTGTGCCCTCTGCTTCCACCGCTGACCAAACGACTTCATCAATGGATCGTCCTAGCGTGTTGGCAGATGACAAGAAAAGCTTCTCTTACCAGGGAGATCAAGCTGATAACTCCTGATATCCACTTGCTGTCCTTCAGACGAGCCGCATGGTCAGCCTATCATCTCTTCGAGTTGTAGACGGTGGTGAGTACATCCAAAAATAGTCCCATCATATTTTGAACATGGTCGCTAAGAGACACGTCGCACATTCTTCTTTCCATCGCCCTTTCGGTTACTCAGCCTTATTGACAGACCAGCACTTCTCGCCATAAATCATGCCAGGTAGGACGACGGGGTGCAGTAGTTCTTTTTTCGTAACGACTGCAGTTCGTAACCCAGCAGTGATTGAAACTTGTCCACGCCGTCTACCTTTTTCTATCAATCTCGCACATGATATTAGCTAAATCTTAATTAAGTCTTAAGATTTAGTTCTTTTAATCATTCGGTACAAACTCGATCACAGAAAAGTTTATCTCATCGAAAGGAACATCTGTACCGGTCGATAACACGGAACAGAATTGGCTCTTGAAGTGATAAAAAATTAAAATAGTAATATCTAACTTGCATAAGTAATCACATTATTAAGTTTACATTATTGGTCATTTGGAGAAATGTCTGCGTTTATCGAACATTTAAGTAAATTCACTACCGCTGATGCTACTACTGCTAATATGGCGAAGATCACATTCCTAGTCGCAAGTCAGCATTGTCAATTAGATATTTCGAACTTCTGAAGTTTCATGTCGCCTCAAACACATCCGTTCAAAGTTAGCAAATCTCATATGAAAATAAATTCAGGCAGACTTTCTTTCATTTTCTGGGCCTTCTAATCAAGTCAGGCACAGATTTCTAAGTGCTTCTGGCAGTTACACAAAACTATACGTCGATTCTTGATCTCTTCATAATTATATTTTGAAGAAAAGTCGTGCAACTGGTTGAGAACGTCTTCATTACGACGTTTGTGGTCACGAGAATTTTCAAGATTACGCAACAGTAATGTTCTTCACGAGGTGAGACATCGCTCATTAAGTTTGTGGCGTGTGGCATAGTGTCTAAGGGTCTGCTTCGAACTCCGGAGGTATGAGTTCGATTCCGCTCGAGGACAATCGTTGTCTTGTTCACAAATTTCACTGAGTAAGGAATTTATCCCATACTGCTTCAGACCGAGGTTGCTCAGTCGATAGAGTGTAAGACTGACGATATAGTTCAAGCCTCGGATGGGGCAACTCCCCCTTTTCGAGGTTAATAAATGAGTATAGCTGTGTGGAAACGAAACAAGAGACTACATGGTACGCTTGTCACATGGTCATGGACTCTGTCCTTTAAAATAAGGCACTTCTGGCTGATGGAAGAGATCAGCATTGCACAAACAACTTTAAGAAAAGAAGGGCATCAAAACGACCCAACTGTTAAAGTGAAGGAAGACCGGCATTCCAATGGTGACAAAGTTTCTCTTCCTTTAGTACGACGAAAGGAAGCAGCCGGAGAAGAGGTAACTGGACAGTGAAGGAAAGCTTTGAGCAGGCAAATCCTCATGGTCGCCGCCTATAACCCCTTTAGGCCTGAGTGAAAGGTAGCTGACCACGACAGACAAGTACAGATATTAACCAGAAACTCCTGCCAGGATCAGGGGGAGAGATCAACGAATGAAGATCGATCAGGATATCAGTCATGCAATATAAATACCCTCACAATCAAATCGACGTCTTAGTCCGAAAAGACGCTGTCTATTACTAGGGTGATAATATGAAGCCATAAGTATGAACCTAATGATGGAAAAGTTTGTTCGAAAAGTCTGTCAGCCTACCCCAACATAAACGTCATATCAAAGAGTCTTATTCTTCCCACTACTCATTTAATCTGGTTCTAAACATTTTAAAATTAATAAAGTTTAATAATTCGATAGGTAATTCCACAGCATTAACATTTAAATTTGGTACGGCACAAAAAAAATACCTTAAACAGACCATATGCTAGAGCGATATGGCCAGCGTTTGGAGCGCGATTCAGTTTACTGATGACGGTATCGCTAACGTTTAACGTGTGCAACAAACCGACTATATCGATGCCACTAAAACATAATTCATAACGCATCATCTGCCACATTATACAACAAAGCAAGGACTCTGAGTGACTTCAACATACAGTAAAATTTAGTTGTACCGCATTCATACATAGACAGATCCGGATGAATAAGGAGGAAAGTTGAAGACTGCGGCCAAGTTACCCGTAAAATTCAGCTACCTATCTGTCGTGAGGCTACCATGAGTGTCAACGGCACGTGCATTCAGTTGCAACACGTGCCAACCTAGGGATTTTCTGTTGCTCCTGCTCCTGTAAAAGACGGTGAAGGTATTCCAAAGAGCAGAAGTAGCAAAGAAAGCGGATGGCAAACTGATGCAGATAGAACAACCGCCAGAAGCCTGCATTTTAAAGCGATAATTTTCAGTAACTGTCGTGCCATCTTACTGAAGTTCGATGAGCTGAAACCGCTTCTCGACACGCCGCCGATCAGCAACACAATTTACTTTAACATGCGTTGTTGATGAATAATGTACATGGTCAACTTCCAGATCTTTCCACCTGAGTTCGTAACTGCAGTTTCTCAATGCAAAACAAATTTGCTTCAAAGTCATAAAGAGGTCTGTCAATTTTCTCGCTTTCATCATGTCGTTAACAGATTCTTTCAACTTCATGGCAAGGATTATTGGGCTAACGTTGCTGCAAGGGTAGTACAACAAATTGTACTTAACTTGAAATCTGACCTTAAAAGAGTTTCAGAAATTAGCTTTAATAGACGATTCTACAATCTATTCACTGTTCTCTCACAATCTTACAAAAAGCATTATGATGATCCAATGCTTATCAGGAAAAAAGTTCTTCATTTGGTTAAAGCACCTGACTCGCGATCTGAATCCAGCTGGCTGAGCGACCGCCTTCGATCCATCCGAAACAGATAAAATGGGAACACCGTTAAGATTGAAGAGAGTAGAGAAAAACATGATCTATCTGTTATATACCTTGAAACACCCTTGTATTAATACGGCAAGTCTTAGTTGATGGCAGCGAAATACAGATCAGCGCAACGGCATCCGCCCCACTGAAAGAAGAGTACCATAAATGTCCTCCTAGAAGTAGAGAGTAGACGGATATTCCTATGCTTACAAACTCGTTTCTGCTGTTCTTTCGTGAGATAAACGCAAATGTGATTTTTTACGAGAACTTCGCAAGAAACTTTGCACCATGCTGAAAATTTACTGTAAAAACTAAAACTCAATTTCACATGGTCCTGCAAACATGGGCGAAATGCTGCCCAGCGCTTCGCTGTGAGTAAATCGTTTGAGAAACCCCATACATTACACGATGTCATTGAGAAACTGACTTAGCCTGTATTCCATCACTTATATTTATGCATTAAGAGCAATCTTTCAAGACTACTGACATGTGACTTCAAAGCGCTAGAGCCATCACGAGACAAGTCTGTAGAATCAGCGGCCTTTCGCACAATAATCTATTGAGGCATACCGTAGATTTAACTTTCTCTTATGGTTGGGTAGGAACACCCTAGAGAATAGTACTCGTCCACTGCATGACAATTCTCGCAATGTCCGTCGCAAATTTCACCAACTAGATCCAGGTATAAATAAAGCTTGGGATCTTAGAAGTTCGTAAATCCAGGTATGTCTGTTTTTGCCAGAACGAATCTCTATCGAGATCAAGGCCTGCAATTCGATAGATTACGCGTTCTATGAGAGCCCACGGATGTTAAACAACAATACTTGAATTACCTACATCTCACAAAATCTTTGTTCAGTTTATCTCTATTGCCTTTGCTCAGTGGTCTTGCATACCGTTTTCACCGATGGTTCGTTTGTCCGTGAAATTTTATTACCTCTAAACATACAAGTGCAATTCTGCTTTTTACTATGTAGATCGATTTTGTTATTTTTTCTAGTGCCGAAAAATGGAATTCTTTGGCGATCCCATTCAGCCAGCGCAGCAGCAGTAAACTTTCATTCAGTCATTCTACGATACGGCTGATAAGACATTATCGAGATCCGAGAGGAATATTGTTTATTTCACTTAAAACTGTTCCTCTCGAACTCGTAAAGCATCAAAGAAACATCCTATCGAAACGACCATCAGCCGCAACTTGCATAAAATCCCGATTTTATCTAACAAGAGAAACCGTCAATTATCGGATCCGTCGAAAGGCCATCAAAATGGAGCTAACCCCCTTCTGACTTAAATGCCTGAAGGATAAAAACTTTTATCTTAAATGCGAAACTAAACAGCAGTAAAGAATTTGTCTGATACAGAAAACATCTTCAAAAGTAAACAGTTACATTATTAGAAACGTAAACACCGGTTACCTCACGGCCATGTAGTAAAACGTGCCGAACCAAAACGCTGAAGTGACCAAATGCACCGGAACTAGCACATACCAGTATTTTTTGAACAGCAATTTGAACCTTTGGACAGAGGTCAATTTCGTCTCTGGTCCAACGAAGGGGAGCAAAGTACGGTCAGCATCATCTTTGTGGTCAGCCTGGGTGGCCATCGTCCGGTCGACCACCATACGCAGATGTGCGACTGACCTTAAGGGCAGACATTGGTGTGTAACGCTGAAGCAACGTGAAATACTTGGAGCCTTAGTCTTTTGCGAAAAGGAGGGAAGAACAGAAAGATGAGAAAGACTGACGGAAAAGTATCGGAGTTGAGCACCATCGCAGACATGCATAAGGGTCAATCGTTTAGCTTTTACACCTACAGACCATCGTAACCTTTGACCGGAAAGGTTGGACACTACCACAGCCAATTTTTTTATTTTATTCATGACGAAAACTTAGCTTAGTCCTAACATACTCAGCCTAACAGTGATTCAACCGGCGAAAACTGATGGATAGGATGAATTTGCACGTCAAGTTACAAATGTACCCCGTTTCAACGTTTCATATTCTATTCGAACAGCTTGTGAAAAGTCAGTATAACAAATTTAAAATAAAATACTTAGCTGCATAAAATATTTCAGAAATTTAATTCAGACTAAGTGATTTCGTTACTGGCCTCTTTAGAGTTCATTCTTCTGAAGAATTATTCTGTAACTCAGTTGAATAAAACTTAGGTGAAGCAGCCATGTACGCATCGCTATAGGTAAATAATTCATTTCCTAAGAGTATCCGTAGTCATAGTATGTGTATTTTCCGAAGAGGTACGACTGGCACTGCTTTGAACTTACATTTCAAAATAGATTACTGATCTGAAACTTTCTATTTGCAGATTATTCTCTGATTTTTCGTTGAAAACACCAAAACTCACAGACGTGAGTAGTTTTATTGCCTATACGTTTCGTTTCAAGCAGAGCAGTATAATCAGGGCTCAGTTTTGATAAATTTGGATATCGAAATTGTCCCCTCATGGTACTACTCCTTTTGTGACCAATGAGTTGGCAATAATACTGCTAAAATGATTGTGTATTGAATCGGCAACCACAAATTCGCAAACAATCAACGATTTCAACAATGGAGGGAGAATCGGAAATGCTATTGTACATCTGCCTTATATTACGTACTTATACTTGTTTTTTTGTACTAAATATTTATGCATGTGCATAATTTATAGTTTCCCAAGATTCCAAGATTGCTCGGACTTCCGTATGGATTCTTCTAAGTTCCCACAAGCCGAGAACAGTCATGCCAGGTCATTTTATCCTTGGCAGTTTGTACCTAGTTCTTTCCCGCTATTTCCTCTACCTACGCCCGCCACCTCATCGGAGATCATCCGAGTGGTCGTTTTCTTTCCCTCGGGTATCATTCTAGAATACGCGAGATCCATCGGTTGTCATCAAGACGCGCGACATGGCCTACCCAACGATTCTTGCTCTCTTTCATGGCTTTCACGATTTCTCGCACGCCACTCATTTTACGGAGAGTTTCGTTATCGATGCCGTCACGAAGAGACATTCTTAGCACCGTTCCACTGCTCTTTCCGTCACAGCCAGTATATTTTCGTTTGGTGCCCACGTTTCGCATTCGTACGCTATTGCCTTCAGCATTAGGCTGTTGAAGAGGCGAGCACGCCTGATACTTGGAGGACATCGATGATGCTTTAGAATTTGCCATCCGGCAGCCCTTCGACGTATAGGCTCCGGTAAGAGATCATGACGCATATTCATTTCTTCGCCCAAGTAGACAGAGTTGTTGACTTCTTCCAAATCTGCATCGTCCACCCCGAAATTGGCCTGGGGCATGCCGACACTTTGCATCACCGTCATTTTCGTTGCGTTGATCTTAAGACCCACTTCATCACTTCGTTCGCTGAGCTCATGCAGCATCTCTTTCATTTGTCAAGTCCCTTTTGCGAAAAGTTTTATGTGTTCTGCGAACCGTAGATGATTCAGCTGTTCATCGTTGATGTTCAGATCGCCCTTCCAATTCAATCTGCCGAACACCATCTCGAGGCAGGCATAACGAACTTGGGTGATAAAGGATCTTCCTGTCTCACCCCTTTCTCGATCTGTATACGTCTGGATTTGAGAAAAGCGTCATTTCGGTAGAACATTCTGTATTTGCTTCTTCGATGATTTCGACATAGTTCTCATCGATTCCGTCTTTCACAAGAACTTTCAGGACAGCGTTGAGTTCCACGCAGTCGAATGCTTTCTCGTAATCGAAGAAAAGGAGGCAGAAGCAATTTATACTTCCTAGCCGTTCTAATAGCCAATTTAGAGTGAAGAGGTTGTCCGTAGTGCTATATTTACTTCTAAATCCGGATTTTTCTCTCGGTTGCTGCTCATGGAGTTGCCCTGTGAGTAATGTTTCTTCTGAAGAGCTTGTATACTTGGAAGAGTAGGCAGATCGGGCGACAGTTAGGATCTTCAAATCTTCTTTATCGCTCTTTAAATGGAGCAGAACAGTCCTCGATTCTTTCAACCGCTAGGAATGGTATTCTCAGTCAGGTAGCGACTGAGTCTAGCGGCGAGTTCCTTCCAGAGTGCCCACCAGCCTTCATGAGCTCAATGCTGGTGCCGTCGTTACCGGGAGCTTTTCCTATTTTCGTCTGGAAGATTGGCGTTTCTTACATTAATGATAAGCAGCGGGAGCATTTATTTCTTGGCGGTTCGAATTTCGGGTGTTGGTACGTCGACACATGACGCAAACAGTTTCGTGTAGAATTTTCTACATAGTTCTTCCATATCTATTCGGTCCGTGATTCGGCGTCCATCCTCATTTTTCAGCGCCACTACTGTTTGATGGTATAACAGCAATTCCCTTCTGCACTTCTTCAGGCTTTGTTTTCTTTGGACCGCCATTATTCACCTTCGACGACTGTAGTCTTCGAGGTCCTCTTCAGCTTGTTACGAATTGATCTGCAGAGAAGATTGTACTCTACGTTCCTGATTTTATCCCGCTTCATGATTCTTCTCTTCTCAAACAGTTCTTTTCTCATCTCTTAAACCCTTGAATGCAGTCGTCAAGGTTGAGCATGTTCGGCTTTCTTTGAGCATCGAACGAGGTTGTCGCTGAAATTTTGGTAATCTTGTTCAATGCTCGCCGTCATAATCGAGTCAGTGGTTCGGACTTGCCGCCCCATCTCTGCTTCGTCGATTTCCGTGAGCCTTTTGCGCTGATACAATAAATACAGTGCCCTTCGTTCGACAGCCGTAAATATGTGTATTCTTGTCCGAAGCATGCGGTGATCGCTTCCTGTGTTGAACGAGGGTACTACGGAGACATCCTTCAAAATGCACTGTGTATCGTCCAAATTACACTCGATTTCATTTTTTGCAATTGCGTTTGGTGTAATCCATGCCCATCTCCGTTCCACTTTCTTTCAGAACTAGATGTTACCAACGAACAATTTCTTGGCCGCTGCCATCGCTACCATTCTACCACGCCTGTTATTTCGTTCTCCTATACCAAACCTGCCAATGTGCTTCGCTTCGGCTCCCCTCTCGACCAAATCCTGCGTCGAAGTCGCCCATCACTACCGTATGGGTACATGGTGACAGGTGATTCGAGTTCCGAATAGAATTCTTCAACCTCATCGTCATCGCTGGGCGTAGTGAGGGGGGGAGGGGCATCGGCTTTAACGATTTTGAGGGTCTTGTTTGAATCCAGCCGTAGAAGGAGTACACCGACTCGCGGGAAGTAAAGCGGCAGGAAAGGATTTTTGTCCATGATAACTCCGATTCCATGCGGGTTCCTCTGCCCTTCTCCTTTGCCCAAAAGATCTGTGTTGCGGTACCTCCAGCTCACGTTGATTTCTAACTTTCTTCGTATCTCGCAGACTCCGAGGAATTCGATGACATCGCAAGACGTTCTGTTAATCTCAGGAGATGGTTGATGTGTGCATCCCTCGTCAGCGACCTACAATCGTAGATGCATATCGAGAGGTAAAATCCGTTTCTTTTTCTTTTTGGCAGCCTG